CATTTCATCGTTTTTAGCTTCATTACGTAGTCATAATGCAGCCGTAGAATTGCATGACTTGTCCGTCCATCCGTCCGTGCGGCGTCGTCCGTGTCTGTCCGTCCACTCTGTCCATCCGTCCGGCCGTCCTCCGTCCGTGCTCAAACAGTGGCCAAATCTAAACCGCTCCTACGTTACGGTCACGCTATTTGGACTCGGTGCGGGGCGGATCGTGAAAATGATTGCCAGTGGGATTACAGGGGCGGGTGGTGTTTGGTTGTGGGTGTGTTCGGGGGCCGGGCGGCGATGGGGGACGGGGTGGGGGGGGGGGCGCGGGGGGGGGTGGCTCGATTTGCGGGGGGATCCAAAAGGGCAAAGTCAAGAATTGTAAACAGGGGAAATATTTCCCCTTAACTTAAGTATGGAGGAAATACGGAATTGCGCACAATACTTAACGTTTCGACTATGCTCTTAATATTCGGTGTTAATAGTGTATGCAGGAAAACCAAATCACCAGTGCGAAATTGGAGGTCACAGGTCAAAGGCAGTGGGGGGAAAGGTCAGATATCAGACAATTTTCTGAGAATGGCCTAAACCTACATAGTGAAAAACTTGTTTAAGCCTGGCCTCCATTTACTCAATTTATTGAAAATGCATGAATCTTTCCACTGACGTGCGAAGATAAGGTCTGATAAACCTTCTTGACCTCAAGAGTGAGGGTTAATACATGGATTTCAAAACTGCCTCAATGATGGTCACATGTTCTCATATTCATCGCACCATCCATTAATCTGAAACAATAAGCCCGATAGCCGAACGCTACAGCACATTGATACGGCTCAAAGGCTCTGATCGAAATCCATCAGATTTTTTATTTCATTTACCTGTTTCTGTATTTTTATCCGATAACTATTTCTTCCAAGTTAAGGGCAAATAATTCACAATGATTATTTACAAGCAATTTCATAACAACAAATAAATTTTACAACAATTAAAATTATTATTTTTGATTAGGTTGAGGTGAGGTTAGGCGTCCACAGATGCCACCATAAAACAGGAGTTTCAGCACGGCCGAATTCTGTATTCAACCAAATTCGGATTTGGGGAGTATGCAGAATACAGCAAGCGTGCTGAAATTGATGTGTACTCAAACTGCGTTATCTTGCATATCTCCGCCTAGCAAGTCGGGTGTCACTACGACGACTAAATGTTACGTTTCATAACCGTAGCAACAGACTCAGATGAGCCCAGGCGCTTTACTTCTGGTCATATTTCTATCATACAACCTATAGTAAAATCATGATTGTGTAAAAAGTGAAGGAATGTGCAGGGCTGAATTATTGGAAATCTGACGCTCGCTGGTGCTAAGTTATCTATGATTTATTATGTTTAATCCAGCAAACCTGAGCTCCGAACCCTCATCTTTCTCTCGCAGACTTCAGCACGTGGGTTGTCAGCGTAGTTGTGAACCTCGCGAGACTTCCGGGATGCTCGCGGTTTCACGCTCGCTGCGCTGAGGTCCTCTCTCTCTCCCTCTCTCTCTCTCACCGCTGTCTTTCTCTCGCAGACTTCAGCACGTGGGTGGTGAGCGTCGTTGTGAAATCTCGCGGACATCCGGGATGCTCGAGGCTTCACGCTCGCTGCGCCGAGGTGCTCCTCTCCCTGTTCGTGCTCGCGAGGACGAGAAACCCACCGATGTTCACACTGCTGCTAGCGGAGGTCACGCGAGCGATGATAGGTACGTAGCTTTTCTTCCTCGATGAAATGCTTCCGCCCTTGGTAAAACCAGGAGCGATTATAGGTGCGTGAAGGCTTACCCCCTCGATAAAACACTTCCCCCATCGATAAAGTGCGTACCCCCTTCGATAAATGCTTACCCCCTCAATAAAATGCCTTCCCCCTCGATAAAATCATGAGTAATGGTGAGTACGCTGGTGCACGGCGTTTTCCCCTTGATAAGCCACGAACGATGGTGGTGCGTGTGCACGGCGTTTTCCCCTTTTATATAGCCCACGAGCGGATGTGGTGCGTAGTGATACAGCGTTTCTTCCTGATATGAGCCACGACCGGATGTGGTGCGTGTGCATGCGTTTCGCCTTGATCATAACACCGAGCGATGGGTGGGTGCGTGTATGCCGGCGTTTCCTCCTGATATAGTCACGAGCGATGTGGTGCGTCCCCTGTGTGCGGCGTTTCCTCCTTGATATAGCACAGCGCTGTGCGTGCGTTACTCGTGTGCGGCGTTTTCCTTCCTTGATAAAGCACGAGTGATGGTGGTGCTCGTGTTGCGGCGTTTCCTCCTTGATATAGCACGAGCAGGTGGTGCGTTGTGCACGCGTTTTCCCCTGATATAGCCACGCGCGGTCCGATGGATTGGAGAGTCGACGTGGTTAAGGCGTTCCTCTTGAATTAGTTAGACATGTAGCACGAGCTGATCTGGCTGACGGTGTCTGCGTTTGCAGAGGCGATTCACTCGCTTGGATTGATTAGCAGCGGAGCTCAGACATTCGAGTTTGGATAAGAGACCTCCGTGCGCGGCTCCTCCTTGTATAAAATACAAACGAGGCCTTAAGATGAGTGAGGTGCCGAGACACAAAAAAAGGGTAAAAGTGCACGGCCAGTGTTCCTCCGACTGGATAGTAGGCCATATCGAGCTCGCCCTGATTGGGTGCGGTGCCGGCGCGTTATTGCCATTCCTTGAAATATAAGCTCGCTATGAGCGATGGTGGGTACTGTGCAGGGCGTTTTCCTCCTTCTATTACTAATCATTGCGAGCGATGGTGCTTACCCTAGCTTAAGCTGTTGTCTGTCAGCGCCCCGTTTCCTCTTTTTATATTAGCACGACAATGGTGGGTGCCGGGTCGTAGCAGCGTTTCCTCCTTGATATTATCCACGACCGATGTGGGGTGCGTGTCGCTGTGTCGGCTTCCTCCTTTGATATAGCCACGAGCCGATGGTGGGCGGCGGTACGTGTGTGCGGCGTTTCTCCTTGATATGCCATCGAGCCGATGTATGCGTACGTTCGTGTTATGGCTTTTTTCCTTGATTATTAGTCGACGATCGCGATGGTGAGCGTACGTCGTGTGCGGGTTTCCTTCCTTATATAGCGACGAGGCGATGATGGCCGTACGTGTGTTCAGCGCGTTCCCTCCTTGATATAAGCCACGAGTGGATGGTGGAGTGGTGTGCCGTGGCGTTTCCTCCTTATATAGCCACGAGCGATGGTGGTACGGGTGTGCAGGCGTTCCTCCTTGATATAGCCACGAGCCGAATTGGCGCGCGTTGTGCACGGCGTTTTCCGCCTGATATTAGCCAGACGATGAGGGTCCGTGCTGGCGGCGGGCTGTGTGTGTGGCCGGCGTTTCCTCTTGCATTATAGCACTCCCGACAGACGGATGCGCGTGGTGCGTGGTGTGCAGGCGCTTTCCTCCTGATATTAGCACGCAGCGATGGTGCAGGCATCTTGCATTCGTTTCGCTAAAGAGCCCCTCGCATAGTTGATTACGTCGAGGTAGAAATAAGCATGCTAATAAATGTGAATGTTGCTCGCAGTTGTCTCCCCTCCATCGTATGTACCCCTATAGCACGGAGCGTATTTGTCGGAGTGGCATGGTTTTCGATATGAGTGATACACAGTTGAATTTGATCTGAGTGTGAAGTGCCACGTGGAGTATTTTCACTTCCTTGATTGTAGCCACGAGCCGATGGTGGTGGTACGTGCTGTACAAGCGGTTCTCCTCCTTGATATAGCCTGATGGAGGCCGATGGTGGGGCGCTTGCACGCGTTTCCTCCTATCATAGCCACCGAGCGATTTGCGTGGGTACGTGTGGTGCAGGGCGTTCCTCCTTGATCTTATAGCGGACGATGCGGGATGTGTGGGCTAGCGTGGGTGGCGACGTTCCTGTTCCGTTGAGTATAGCCGAGCAGATGGGTTTTGGGTGCGTGACCGGTCGTGGCCCATCCAGTATTTCCAGATTTGGGGCTAGTCCCCAGGAGCTGTGGGGGCTGGTGTGTGTCGTGGAGCAGCCGGTGTTTCGCGCCCCCATTGTGACAGTTATAGCGCGACGATGGTGGTCGTCGGGTTGCCGCCGCACGCATTCCTCGCTGATGATTTTTATTTCACCCCAGTCACTAATTTGCCCGGCGACGGTGTTGTGGGCGTGCAGGCCGCCCCGGTTCCCACGCGTAGTGGGGCGCAGAGATAGGACCATAGTGCCTTTGGCCGCCTGAAGATGAGCTACGGAAGCAAGGAATGATAGGGGTTGGAAACTCAAATTTGTCGCGCTATTACAGGGCCGTTATTCCCGTGAAGTAACCCACGAGCTCGGAGAGCGGTGCAGTCTCGAAATTATCATTTCTGCGTTTCGTTTTGTTTTTGGCTTACTCTCACAGCTTCCGGAAACAGGAAATTCAAACCTATTACCAAACAACGCAATATAATACTGTTACAATCGCTTTTAGAGTATATCGTATTATAAAAATACTGCCTCATTAGTGTTATTACTATATGGAATCAGTATTATGCAATATCTTGTAGGCCCACAATCAATAACCTTCAACGCGCCGATGTATCTGCCTCGATCATCGATCGTTTGTGCAGACCTGATGGACTCGAGTGTGAAATTTCTAGAGTTCCCATCACGCCTTACGTATGTCAAGCTGTTCTGAGCATCGTAGGCCTATCAGAGCTTTGTTGTTCCTTAGATATGCAGACAGGAGTATCTATAAGTTCAGTAAATCATTAATAAGTTCGATAATTCATTAGTAAGTTCAGTAAATCATTGAGATGTTCAGTAATTCAATAATAAGTTCAGTAATTAATTAATAAGTTCCGTAATCCATTACTTGGAGAGCTCTAATGACAGTACGTACACCTTTTGTGGGACGGTGTTTATCTAATGCAAATTTCGTTCGCGTCCGTTAACCCCTGGAATTATTGGTCTAGAACTAGAAATTTCTCACTGCTCGCTTAGAAATCTATTGTAAAGTTTGACCTCCTTAGGTTTCTCTTTAAAATTAAGGATACTGTTAGGGTTATGGACCGGTAACACTGTAAAGGACATTGCAACCTAACTACTCATCAAATTCAATCAAACTCATATCCATCATGTCCATTACATACGAGAGATCTTACATACGCTCTCAATGAATTTTTTTTTTACAAATTTATTGCTAATTAATTGACTGCAAAAATTATTGCTTTTTAACCATAAGTTGTTCATAATATGAACTAAAAAAGGGTCCCTGGAATTTTTTTTAAATGCTTTAATTTAGGAAATAAGTTGAAAAGATGTACAAAAATTTGTAGTGAATTTCTAAATGCAACAATTTCGTAAACAAAGAGCCATATAACCTGGGGTAGAAATTTAACCATTTAACAAGGTGTAGAAATTGACTTTTGAACATGGGAGTCCAACGGACTCCCTACCTTCAAAAAGAGGGAGTCCGCAGTCTGATGTTCAAAATTAAAGATATTAACAATAACGCATACATTTGCTTATTTTTAAGATTCATGCAGTTGCATGTCTGCCAAATTTTCTTTGTACATTAGCTGAAAAAATACAGTAATTCCGCGAGGCCGTGCTCCAGACCTGAACTAGTTAGTATGGCAGAATTTTCATGGAGTCACACGGACCCGTAGTAGTCCCTCATAGAGTTCGATCCCTCTCCTCCTTAAATTGACTACGTCACGAATTTTCTATGGTAAAATTTGTAAAATTGTTGTTGCCATTTTTTTACATTAAAAGTAAGAACTAACGGGACTAAACGTATCGTCAAATTCTTACCTGATAAGATTGTTTCTCAACTAGTTAAAAATCCAAAAAACCTGGACGATTTTATCTTATGTTCCTGACATTAATTGCTTGCTATGGGCTATGTATGAGTCACGAGTGTATGTTCACATCGAACAATATAGTAAATACAGGAAGGTATAATGCAGCAATTTAAGCCATAAAAAGTGAACAGAATTACTTGTATTTTGTGAAAAAG